TCTCTCAAGATATCAAGATGACCAAGAATTATTTCAAAGGCCTTCAGATGATCAAACATCTCCATTAAGGTTGACCAGGAATTTATCCAAAGACTTTCAGTTGATCAAAAATCTCCATTAATCCTTTGAATAATTTGCCTAGGCTTCAGGTTGATGAGGTATTCTGAAGATCTTCAACTGTTCAACAATTCAATTCACGCTTCGCAGATATTCTCTGAAGATATCAGATCGACTAGGAATTATTTCAAATACCATCAGTTAATCAGTTGAACTTCATAAAGTCTTTTGATGAGGTGTAATGGTGACATGGGCTACAAAATGGTGAGTTGACAACCTGGAAGGAGCGATATACCTACCCTGGTCCTCACAAGTTCCTACTTCACGCCGCCCCGAGTCATATGATAACAAAAGACTACCAGCTAAAACATGGACACAGCAGGGTGGCGTAGCCTGGGCAATAATGCCAGTTCGGCAATAGCAAAGTGAAGAGGTGCGACGCACACACTGGCACGGTAACCATAGTACGGCGATAGAGGAAATGCTTCACCAAACCCGAGCGTCTGTTCACCATGGAGGTGCGGCTCAAAACGGCGTCTGTTCTCCATGTTAAGAGCGGCTGATCACCGTCCTAGTGCCAGCGTGGGACTCTAAACAGAGCTGTGCACGATGGTCCCCCGGCGAGACAGGGGGTTGGGACAGGCCCAACAAGCCGCCCTGGGAAAAACATAAAGTTGCAAATACTGAAGAAAGAAATACGAATCGGAAAAAATCGGCACAGACCTACGCAACGAAGTAAGGACTACGATTGGAAACTCGGAACATGGAACTGCAAATCGCTCGGCTTCCCGGGCTGTGATAGGTTAATCTATGATGAACTTCAACCACGCAACTTCGAAGTCGTAGCACTGCAGGAACTTTGCTGGACGGGACAAAAGGTATGGAAAAGCGGGCATCGAGCGGCTACTTTCTACCAGAGCTGTGGCACGAACAACGAGCTGGGAACCGGCTTTGTAGTGCTGGGTAAGATGCGCCAACGCGTGATTGGTTGGCAGCCGATCAACGCGAGGATGTGCAAGTTGAGGATTAAGGGCCGTTTCTTCAACTACAGCATCACCAACGTGCACTGCCCACACGAAGGGAGACCCCACGACGAGAAAGAAGTGTTCTATGCGCAGCTAAAGCAGGTGTACGACGGCTGTTCGCAACGGGACGTCAAAATCGTCATCGGCGACATGAACGCTCAGGTAGGACGGGAGGCAATGTATAGACCGGCAATCGGGCCAAACAGCCTGCATGCCGTATCGAACGACAACGGCCAACGATGCGTGAACTTTGCAGCCTCTCGGGGTATGGTAGTTCGAAGTACCTTTTTCCCCCGCAAGGATATCCACAAAGCCACCTGGAGATCACCTGACCAACACACAGAAAACCAAATCGATCACGTTCTAATCGACGGGAAATTCTTCTCCGACATTATCAACGTCCGCACGTACCGCAGTGCGAACATAGATTCGGACCACTACCTAGTTGCAGTATGCATGCGCTCAAAACTCTCGATGGTTCATAACACCCGTCGAAGTCGAACGCCGCGACCCAACATTGAGCAACTACGGGACACCGGAGTTGCCCAGGACTACGCGCAGCAGCTGGAAGTTGCACTACCCACGGAAGAGCAGCTTCGCGCAGCTTCACTTGAAGATGGCTGGAGGGAAATCCGTTCCACCATAGGTAGTACTGCTGCAGCGGCACTAGGTACTGCAATCCCGGACCGAAGAAATGACTGGTTTGACGGCGAATGCAAACTGTTAGTAGAGGAGAAGAATGCAGCACGGGCGAGAATGCTGCACGGGCGAGAATGCTGCTACACCGCACGAGATTGAATGTGGAGCGATAAAGACAAGCGCGGAACAGACAAAACTCGGTTTTCCGAAGGAAGAAGCGTCAGCAGGAAAATCGAGATCGCGAGGCGATGGAAAATCTGTACCGCGTAAACGACACACGGAAGTTCTATGAGAAGCTAAATAGTTCGCGTAAAGGCTACGTGCCGCAAGCCGATATGTGCAAGGACTTGGACGGTAACCTTCTCACGAACGAGTGTGTGGTGATTGAGAGGTGGAAGCAGTACTATAACGAGCACCTCAACGGTGAAGCAGTAGAAAACGGAGGTGGCACGGCAACATACCTTGCAGCACGCGCAGAAGACGACAGGCTACCGGCCCCTGATCTTCAAGAAGTTGAGGAGGAGATCGGTCGGCTGAAGAACAACAAAGCAACTGGTGTAGATCAACTATCAAGTGAGCTTTTAAAATACGGTGGTGAAGCACTGGCTGCTGGCGCTCTGCTGCACTGGGTAATTGCCAGGATTTGGGAGGAGGAGATATTACCGGAGGAGTCGATGGAAGGTGTTGTATGCTCAATCTACAAAAAGGGCGACAAGTTGGATTGCTGCAACTACCGCACGATGACACTGCTGAGCGCCGCCTACAAGGTACTCTCCCAAATTCTATGCCGCCGCCTGTCACCATTTGCAACAGAGTTCGTGGGGCAATACCAGACGGGATTCATGGGTGCCCGCGCTACCACGGACCAAATTTTCACGATTCGGCAGGTTCTGCAGAAATGCCGCGAATACAACGTGCCCACACATCATTTGTCATCGATTTCAAATCCGCATATGACACAATAAATCGAAATCAGCTATGGCAGATTATGCACGAGTACGGATTTCCGGATAAACTGACGCGATTGGTCAAGGCGACGATGGATCGAGTGATGTGCGTTGTTCGAGTATCGGGGACACTCTCGAGTCCCTTTGAATCTCAAAGGGGGTTACGACAAGGTGATGGACTTTCGTGTCTGCTATTCAACATCGCGTTAGAAGGTGTGATCAGAAGAGCTGGGATAGACACGAGTGGCACGATCTTCAGGAAGTCCAGCCAGCTTCTTGGCTTTACCGATGACATTGACACCATGGCACGGAACTTTGAGATGATGGCGGAAACGTACATCAGACTGAAGGCTGATTCTAGGTGACATCAACGCATCAAAGACAAAATACATGAAAGGAAGAGGTTCTAGGGAAGACAATGTTAGCCTCCCACCCCGAGTTCAGATTGACGGTGACGAAATCGAGGTGGTCGATGAGTTCGTGTATTTGGGCTCACTGGTGACCGCCGAAAATGATACCAGTTGCGTACCATCTACGGTGGAGTGCAGATGGATGACGGAACGCGTAGGAGGCGAATGAACCACGAATTGCACCAGCTGCTGGGAGAACCATCCATCGACATCGGGGCGACCCCGGCGTAGTGGTTAGCATCCATACCTCTCATGTCAAAGTCACGAGTTCAAATCTCACCCCCGGACAAGTCACGAATGACCCAAGAGTGTTAAAGTGACTATAATAAAAAAAAAAAAAAAAAAAGCCATCCATCGTCCACATTGCAAAAATTGTTGGGCACGTCGTAAGAATGCCGCACGATGACCCAGTGAAAATGGTTCTAGAAAGCGACCCAACAGGAACAAGAAGAAGAGGCGCGCAGTGGGCAAGGTGGATCGACCAAAGAGAAGGCGACTTGCGGACCCTTCACAGACCACGAGGCTGGCGAATTGTGGCCATGGATCGAGTAGAGTGGAGACGACTTCTTCGGACAGCAGAGGAAAACAAGGCCTTAGTCTGATTGGTAAGGTAAGTAATGGTGACATGTTCTAAAATTTGTAACATGAAAGGATTTCATGGCTCTAAAATTTTCAAAAATTTGCAAAATGTCAGACGCTGAGACATTGCTAGCTGCTTAAGATAACCTCAGAGTTAATTTTTGGTATCCTGTATTATGGAAAAGAAAAGAAATCAGGGCTTGATGAAATATGCAGGATTTGAAGAGACATAGGGGAAATGTTGGCTTCGGCAATACCTTAACCTATTATCGTCAGGTGAAACACAATGTATCCACATGCCAAAATTGAGCTCTCAAAGGCGTTGTTTACCCCCCTGACGATAATAGGTAAAGGTATTGCCAAAGCCGACATTTCCCCTATTTCAATTCGTATAGGTACTAAAAAATATTGTAATGCTACAATCAAATTACCGTTTATTTCCCGGTTGTTTTCGATTCCAGGTTATCCCGATTTACGCGATTCAGTGGCAACCTTTAAATTCGGCAGCCGAAGCAGAAGAACGAAGGAAAACAATATCGTCGTCCATGAACCATTGCACTTTTGACACTTAACAATCGCGAAATAAAAACAACCCCTACAGGCTACAAAAAAAAATCGCTTCAAAATATGCAACGAGAATATTTTACGAGTGACACAAGGGATTTGTTTTTTTTTTTTTTTTTTTTTGTCACCGGTAATTGCTCTTTGTGTGAACTGGTAGGAAGGATCTCATATTGAATATTTTCAACCAACAAAAGTTCGTCGACGTGTGTGTTCAGTGATTTAAACGAGTGATAATCTATTGGTTATGACAATATTGATACTTTTACTAACATGAAACCAGACCAAGAGAAATTCTCCTGTTCTTTGAACAGAATTATTTTTTTTTATTTCAGGTTACATGGTCCATAACTTACTTTGAAACGCGTTGATCAATTAAGATTAAATTTCAACCAGTTACTCGTCAAAGTATAATCAATAAAATAATGTCATACTAAAAGTCAAGAAATGATTTGATATATCCAATAAAACTGCATGGTGCAATAAAGCATACTCACTGTCTGCCACGTCAGGGACGTAGCTATGAAAGTTCATGTTTGAAAGACATTGGAATTGAATTGAATTACTGAGAGGTATGCAAATAACTTTAGAGGACAACAACAGTAGTAGCACGAACATATAATGGGAAATGAAACACATTCCCGAAAATATCCGTAATAAAACTATCATTCAAATGGAAAATATACCAACGACGACGTTTTTTTCCTAAGCAATTGACCCGATACTATCGTTCATATTCATTTTTACTATCCTTCTCATCGTTTGCCGCTTTTATCTTTCAGACGACTTCCCCCATTCCGGTGGCTGTTGTCGTCCGAATGGTGCTGTAAAAATCCGGACGGTTCCTCCGGACGGGGAGCGCTGCGCAACGGGATGGTGCTCAACGGAGGCCAACGGATGCAGAACAACAACAGCAGTGACTCAATGCGAACGTTGACCACCTCGCTGACGATATCCCAGCGGTCCTGCATCAGGCCATCGCGGGTCGTCATCGTCGAGCGCCCGAAGGCAGCGCTCGCCATGTCCGAAGTTTGAAGCTAACTATTTATTCCTGTAGTGTATGGCGATGACGCCGTAGCAATTGTACTGTCTAATAGAGTTTAAGTATTTATTGACGTGTAAATAGAAACTTAGTACGTAAAGCTCATAGTCTGGGCCAGACTGGTTCGGGTAATGAAGAAGCATGAAATGATGAGTTTTTGGCAGTCTAATAGTACCGAGAAAAAAAAATAAGCAGTACATTTGTTTTTATTTACACAAAATTGATAGTTAACGTAAGGCAATATAATTAAAAACAGCTACGATGAAAAAGACAACATGCTCAAACAAAATAATTTACAAACTATATAAAAATCATTTCAACTAAAAAAACAATCAAATCACATGTCACAAGCTCAAAACTACAAATTAATTTCAAGTTCTCCCATTTTCTGAACCAGTCTAATAGTGCCGTTGAACGAGCAGAAGGAAACTTTTTGATAACGAGTGAAGAAACAAATATAATTTTCCTTGAAAATAACACAAATACGTTCTGCAAGCGACGTGCTGTGACTAACTCAGATCGGTTACGGAAAATTAGCTGATAATGAGTACGGAAAATGAAAAAGCAGAACAACTTTTTGTCCCGGGCCTCCGGTTATAACGATGTATTATGTGAGATTATATTAAAAATAAAAAGCTCTGCCAGTTCAGTCCGATGACGAGGGAAGACTAAGAATCGTTAGGAAAACAACAGCTGTAAGAAAAACTCATCAAAGGAAAAGTGAAAACAAAACGAAAAAGACAGGGAAAACAATTTAGTTTAATGTGTTCGAGCTTTGACCTGATTGCATGACGGAGAACTAGTGTAAAAGATGGCTGTCGTGACTGGCTGGCAAGGGGAATGAGTTGTTGCTTGAGATGTGTGATGTGACTCTTGAAAGTCAGCAACAAGACGAGCAAGCAAGAAACAAAAGCACTTAACGATGCTAAACGGAAAACAAATTATCAACATTGTTTTTTTCGCTCTGAAACCAGTGCATAATTAATGTTTGGAGAATCTGTCACATGCTTGTTGCTACGACTCGTTTAACATGTACGCGTATACATTAATGCATGTAGGATATGTTTCATTCATGTTGTTTTGTAAATCGGACATGAATGGTCACAGACGTGAAACTGGTGTACAATGGAAATATATGAAAATGTAAATCTTTTAAGCAGTCGTTTCAATGCCTTCGAAAAAAAAACCAACCATGTACGCTAAAGGAAAGGACGGATCATAGTTTTTGAATCGGAATGTTTCATTTCTCCTTCTTGGTTATTGAATCTCAACTGGGAGCAAACGCCGTCGCCTAACCTTAACTAAGTGTTCTTAAAGATTGTTCACGATAAAAATGGGAACAATTCAAATTCTAACGGCGCCGGTGGTTGAGTGGTAACCGTGACTGCTTTTCACCCCTGTGTGTCTAAATTCAATTCCAGTCAAGGTTCTGGGATTTAACCGAGCGATCCAGGTCTCAGGCCCGATAGGTTCCAGATAGGGAAGTCGTCCTCCTGGCTCTCGTTTGCCTTTTCGTTTGTTAATTCGAATCATTGAAGCGTTAAGATGAGTTTTTCAGTTTAAATCAAACGGTAAATGAGTAAACTTTAACTGAGCATGTTTACTCCAATTTTGATTCTATTTGTTCAGTTTGGATACTGATTTGAAAATAACCGATCATGTGACCTTAGTGATTAATATCTTAGACCATGTTAACGATAACGATAATTTTGTAAAATTGAAGGGCTGGAGGAAATATTCGAAGCAAGATGTTTTGAATCTTGTGGAGAGATGCGTGGATTTTCCATTCGCGGCCGGTAACTAAGATGAATCTACAGCTGTTTTTAATAACGCTTTGACAACGTGTACCAATCAACTAGTTGAGCAAATTGTTGTTTCTTTGAAAAACTCGAACAGCTGGTACAATTTGGATCGTTTGCGTCTTAAACGGAAAAAGGACAAATGGTACAAAAAGTTTTGTAGATCAAATAATAACAATCATTAGAATAGGTACACAATCACGCGTAATAAGTATTCACCATCGATAAAGAAAACTCGTTGTGAATATGTTAAATGGAAGATTTATCAGCATCAGAACAACAGCAAAGAGCTATGAATTTTTTTTTTAAATATTTATTAAAACCTAGTAATTGCAAACCGCGGTTCATAACTTTTAATGGAACATTAGAACATTCAGAACTAGTAATTCCATCTAAATTTAATGATTATTTTGTCGACAATGTTTCATTGATTAATCAATCCATTGCATTGGTCGATGAACCTGACGAAATAAAACAGCCAGTTAATAGTAGTTGTAGATTTGAAGGATTTCACCCATTTACATTAGATGAACTTAGAGTTATTTGTTGGATGTCCATACATCGGCAGGAGTAGATAATGTTAATGCTAGAGTTATTCAAGATTGCTTTCATATCATAGGCAACATCTTGCTGGATCTTATTAATGAATCATTTCAAACTGGAAATGTGACACAAATTTGGTAGGAATCCTTAGTGGTTCCTATTCAAAAAGTTGCTGGAACGATTAAAACCGAAGCGTTTTGCACACATTAGAGAACATTTTAGAACTTGTTGTTAAAAGCCAGCTGTTGGAGTATTTGAATACAGTCAAGATTCCTATAGAACTGATTCGTTCTTGGCGGATTCCTATAGTACGGTTGTCACTGGATTCCTATAGTACGGTCGATCCGGCATTAACGAATACACGTAGCATATGGGATTTGAGCTAATTGGGATCAAACACTGATTGTACGGCAATTTGAAGAGATAACTTCCTGATGTCTTTGGAGATGTTGTTAAACAGATAGTTAGTAGTTTGGGAATAGTCAGTTCCCGGTAAATCACAAGACTGGTCCTTTGGAAGATCCGGAACATCCGTGAAAGTGGTCATTTTATGAAACGGATCCTAAAGCTTCGCGGTTTTTTTTCGAAACCACTCATAGACGTCTTATTACAATGAATTAAGATTTGTGACCAAAAAATGGACCCTGGGGGCTATGCGATGATCCTCCGGAAGATCAGACACATCCTTAAAACTGGTCAATAATTGAAATTGATCCTAGAGCTCTGCGGTTTTTTGAAACCACTCATAAACGTCTTATCACATTTAATTCAGAGTTTTGACCAGAAAATGGATGCTGGGGACTATGGGATGGTTCACTAAAAGATCCGAAACATCCGTAAAAGTGGTCAATTCATGAAACCAACCCTAGAATTTCACGGTTTTGTCGAAAACACTCATTGGCGTCTTATCAGAATGAATTCAGAGTTTTGACCGGAATATGGACCCAGAGGACCACGGGATGGTCATTCGGAAGATGCGGAACATCCGTAAAAGTAGTCAAGTCACGAAACAGATTCTAGTCACAACTCCAAATTCATTCTGATAAGACGACTATGAAATATTTCGAAAAATCTGCGGAACTCAGGATCAGTTTCATGAATTTACCACTTTCATGGATGTTCCGAATCTTCCGGTGGACCATCCCGTGGTCTTCAGAGTCCATATTCCAGTCACAACTTTGAATTCATTCTAATAAGATGTCGAGGAGTAATTTAAAAAAAATCCGCTGAACTCTAGGATCAGATTCATGAATTGATCACTTTTACAGAATCAGTTTCATGAAATGACCACTTTCACGGATGTTCCGGATCTTTTGGTGGACCATACCGCGGTCTCCAGTGTCCATATTCAAGTCACAGCTTCGAATTAATTCTGATAAGACGTCTACGAGTGATTGCAAAAAATCCGCTGAGATCTAGGGTCAGATTCATGAATTGACCTAGGATTTATGAATTGACCACTTTTACGGATGTTCCGGATCTTCTGGAGGACCATACTGTAGTCTCTAGTTTCCATATTCCAGTAACAACTTTGAATTCAGTCTGATACGACGTCTAGGAGTGTTTTCAAAAATCCGCTGAGCTCTAGGATCAGATTCATGAATTGACCACGTTTACGGATGTTCTGGATCTTCTAATGGACCATCCCGTGGTCTCGAGTGTCAATATTTCAGTCAAAACTCCGAATTCATTCTTATAAGACGTCTAGGAGTGATTTCGATAAATCTGGATCGATAATTCCGGTGGACCATCCCGTCCATATTCAGGTCACAACTCCAAATTAATTCTGATAAGACGTCTATGAGTGCTTTCGAAAAAAAACCCTAGGATTAGTTTAGAATTGATCACTTTCACGGATTTTCCGGGTCTTCCGGAGGATCAGACTTTCCGGATGCTTAATGTTCCCAAAAGGTGGAATATTTTCTGTTTAATAACTTTTCAGAAGACACCAGGATGTTGTCTCTTCAAATTACCCTACAATAAGCGTTTGTCCACAATTAGCTCTATCCCATATGCTATGTGTATTCGTTAAAGCCGGTTCCTATAGTGCGGTCCATATTAACCGTACTATAGGAATCTTGACTGTAGTAATAGTTTGTTGATACCAGAACAATCGGGATATCGGGAAGGTCATTCTTGTGAAACCGCGTTGAATTTGGTATTAGCGAAGTGGAAAAATAACTTGGAGTGTAAAGATACGATTGTTGCTGTTTTTTAGATCTAAAACGCGCTTTTGATACAATTTCTAGGCCCTTTAAATTACAAGTACTGCATATAAATGATTTCAAAGCTATTTTTCTGACCGATCTCATTGGACTGTTTTTAATGATTATTTTTCCAGTTCCATGGGGAATAACCTTGGAGTGCCCCAGGGAAGTGTATTAGGGCCCCTTTTATTTATTATGTATATTTATGACTTGCGACGTGTCTTACGATTTTGCGACATTAATCTTTTTGCAGATGATACTGTGTTATTCATTGCAGTTAAGGATTTAGATGATGCCGTTTTACACTTGAATGAAGATTTGCATTCTCTATGTAGATGGTTAAAGTATAAGCAATTGAGATTGAATATGAGTAAAACTAAATTCATGATAATTTCGCGGAATAGAGTAAATGAGAACGTCTCCGTTGTAATTGATGATAAGGCTATTGATCGTGTTCGGGAGATTAAATATCTTGGCGTGATTATTGATGACAACCTTAAGTTCAACTCTCACATTAACAATGTCATCAAGAAAATTGCAAAGAAGCATGGAATCGAAGACAACAAATCAAGAAGACTGGCAACTCTTCCATTTTCTCATACGAACGCTATGAGACAGGTACATTCGCGCCATCTGCCGCTCAAAGGTAAATGCTTCGAATGAATTTGGTTCCATCCTCAGAAGAAAGGTTCGTGTATTTGCTCATTTTTCTATGCGTTACTTCTACCTTCACTCAAGCGCAGCGCTATTGTATCTGTCACTTGGATTCTGGAAAAGTTGCAAGTCTTCTTGATTTGTTGTCTTCGATGGAATTCTATACCGAAAACCGATTAAACTATTGCCAGTAAAATACAGCTATACAAATCAATCATCTCTCATCATCTAGACTTTTGCCCTTCCATTTTATTTCTGGCCAATGAAACACAAATATCGAGATTACAGCGCTTGCAGAATAAAATAATGCGTTTGATTTTGAGATGTAATAGATTCACTTCCTCAACTTTGATGCTAGACGCCTTACAATGGTTGTCGGTGAAGCAAAGAATTGTATATTTGACTATGGTGTTCATTTTTAAAGTAGTTAACGGAATTGAAAGAGGAAGTGACTTTCATAGATATAATACGGTTGAAATAAGAACACCACATTTCTTGACTTGTGCTTCACAAAATTCATTTTATTATAAAGGAATAAATGTTTTCAATTCGATGCCTAGACATATCAAACATTCAGCAACACTTACAGAATTTAAGAGACATTGCATTTCACACGTTAAAGCTGTCTTTTGAACAGTTATCTAATGATTTTTTTTTTTTTATAAATTGACAATTTAGGTAGTGATAAAAACGTCGCTAGAACTATTCCACAGCCGCAGTCAGTTTATGAGCAAAAAGAGGGACGCACATTTTTGCCTGTAAACTTGGAGACATACTTCAAGTCTCCGCGTACATCGTCCGGGTTAGGCAAAAATGTGCGTCTATCTTTAAAAACTGTCGCATTAATGGCCCTTCGCTCATTTTCAACTTCTATTCAATTTTCATACTGCCGTACTCTAACGGAACTATCCACCTACCCTCTTCTAAAGATCATTCTCTAGCTAATAAATCATCACACTAAAGCTTCATGTTAGCACCTACTGTACACTTGCAGCCGTGCACACCCTGAAAAATTTCTCATCGGATGATGGTTATGAAAATATATCAACATTTACCAGCACTGGTCTGACCAGCCCTGTTCTTCAACATCGCTCACGATAAGGCTGTGATATTCAAAATAAATCTGACAATCCTCGCTGAATATATTAAGTAAACGAAAGGTTTACATTGGTTAATTCTTAGAACATGTCGTAGCTCCAACAGACTAACGCTTTTATTTTCTAACATATCCATAGACTTTGTTTAATGCTATTTTCACAGGTGGTTAGGTTGGTAAAAGTTTAAAATGTACATCGCTGAATGTCAGTCTAACGTATTAATACAAAGTGATAACATTAATCCATTCGTGTAGTGATATAAATGTATAAATGCATCATTCTTTAATGGGATTTAAGGGTATGATAAGGAGTTGTCCACAAACCACTTATACAGTTTTAATTAGTTGGACACTTTCCAACTCCCTTCTCTCTCAATTGTTCACGTGGTATATGGACATCACTTTAAAGATTTTTTCGTTTTCATATTTACATTTGCGTGTTTTCTACTCTTTTTTTTTGGTATACACGTTGTTGCCATAGACAGTTAAAGCACTTGTACAACGCCTTAGAAAACATGTATCCGTAAGGCTAGAAAACCTTCCAGGAACTGGCGCTTGGTATGAGATTTGTTTTTGTTTTTTACAGTTTAGAATCTATCACGACTAACAGATAATATTAGTATCTAGGTTGCAAACGGCAGAAAATATAGAATATTCATCGAAAATTGTAATGGTAACCGTAAAAGTTGCATCGTAAAGGGTTCCTTAATATTAGTCGCTTCTTAAAAGTAAGGTAAAAATTTGACTAGATCTTTTTGCGCTTTAGTTTTACGAAACTGTTTGTACCAGGAATATTTTCCCACCATGGCTGACCCTCACTCCTCGGGCTGGAACGTAAGCGGTGCCGATGGACCCCCGCTGCTAAATAATCACCCTTGAAGTTCTCAGGATGGTGGCTGGTCTACGGGTGGAAACTGTCAGCGATGTGGTGAGAGTTCTCATGGAATCACTGCTGTGCTGGTTTCGCATGCGGCTACTACTTGTCTGTCCGCTGCCATTGTGAGAAACGACATCTTCCGGAGGTGTACCACACCAGCCTGACGAGAACAGCCATCGGAATGGTGGAAGTCTTCTGTTCGTGTTAGAAATGAAGAGTATTTTATTGATTTGATTACCCATTCATCAACAGGCACATACTTTAACGTTCTGACGAAATGCGTCGAAAAGAGGCAATATATCAGCGGATTAGCCGCCGAATTGAGCGGCGCCAGACTTTGGATGAAGGTCGCGATGGCGATGTTGGTTTGCGTTTTGGGAATTTGTTCGAAAACCTGTAGCAAATCGAATACGATGTACGGTGACCAGCAGAGTACAAACACTATCACGATTACGATGGTCATCTTCACGGTTTTCACTTTCGCCTTTGGAATGATACCTCGGGAGCTGGCTCTCCGCCTAGCTAGTTCGGCACTTCCGTTGCGGTATCGATCTGTTGAATGAAAAAAAAAAATGTATTCGATTATCCTTTCTCTCTCTCTCTGAGTTGTGAATTAAGTTTTGAAAATACTAACGTTTTCCACCGACCGGACCCAGCACCGACCCTTTTGACCAAATTGTTTTGATGATTATCACATAACAAGCGGAGATGATGATCGCTGGTATCACAAAGAGGGAAATGGCAACCCAACACATGTATAACTGCCACCGAAACGGACTACCGAGGTCTATCCAACATTGGAGTTGATCTGTGGGGAAAGGTAAGTATGATTAAGAGGGAATCGATTTCAATGATAGTATGTACGGCATATTAGCCATCTATCATCAGCATCACTAACCTTGAATTACTCGTTCCTCGTAGAGGTAGAACATAGGCGAAGAAAATATTGCGCTAAATCCCCACGCGGCCCCCACCAGTCTTCTAGCTCTCTTCCCTGTAAATAAAAGCATTAAGAAAAAACGAACTGAATCAACACCGCTCTTCATCAACAGTTTCTGAGCATACGATAACCAACCAGCTAACCAGCAGAAGATAGGCAATACGGTTTGGCTAGTTGGCTGGTATCCCTTCCAACTTACAGCATCCGGAAAAGTTCATCGGATGAGTTATCGCATCGTATCGGTCGATACTGAGGGCCACCAGCACGTAGGTAGAGCCGTACGTGACCCACACCTGGATGAACCGTATCACTTTGCAGGCCACGTTGCCCGCGAGCCAGGAAATGGTAATCCTCTGCACGATGTCCGTCAACACGCTTAGCAATCCAACGCTGAGATCTAAGGCCAAAGTGGAATTGTATGGAAAAGAGAAAAAAGGAGTTTAATTAAAAACGCAATGAAGATATATCTGAAAAAAAAATCGATACGCTGGAAGCGAAAAACTAAAATTTGATTTGAAATGGATGATTGGATATCACAGCATCTAAAAAAATGATGACAAACATACGAGAGGCACAAATTACTTGCGCATCAAATGGCATGAAGCGATTTTTTTATTCGTTGGGATCAGCATCGTTGCGAGGGTTTGGTACGTCCTTGGTAAACCACGAACATTACTCCCTCTATATAACTATGACAGGCAGAATTGAACTAACGTTGTACTTCTTTAAGCTAGTACGTCGATTACTACTACAATAATGCCTGTCATAGGTTTTAAAGAAATTCTTCAAACAGTTTTTTTAATTCTTATTTTTTCAGAGGCTACCCAACAAACAATTCATAGTCAAAAATAAGCATAAATTCCACTGCGTCTTAGCAAGAAGTACGGTCGCCTTTCTCGCGCTCCGTTGTTTTGGAAGTTTTCTCGCTATTAGCTGGTGTACAGGGTGCGTGACGAAATTTTGCAGTAAATGACATATTTGAGAAAAATTACACCAGTTAGCTATTCTAGCAATGAATGTTATGTGATTTATTTTCTTTCGCAAAATATGGAAGTTGTAACTAATTTTATTGAAAAAAAATCGCCTTCCCTTTCGACGACTGTAGCTAGACGCTTCCGGAAACTGCCATATGCACGTTTGACAATGTTTTAATCCATAGATGTCATCACTACCTTGATTTTAGCTTTTAGTGACTTAAGTGTGGTGTTAGGGGTTCTATTGGTAGTCCGTTCGACGATGCCCCGTACAAAATAATCCAACGGATTGATATCGGGACTGCTTGGGGGCCATATTTCTTTCTCCCAAAATTCCGAAATATTTTCCGCAAGCCATTTCTGTGTTTTATTAGCAGTATGAGCAGGTTCTCCGTTTTATCACTTTCCCAGGCCTTTTTATATTATACACTGTTCTTTCAGACACATTTATCCACCGAATTATTTCTATTACGCTTACTCCGGCGCGCAACAATGCGACAGCGGCTGACCGATTGCTCTTTTGTTTCGACATCTTTACGTTTACTCAACACTGTTTGTTTACATCTTACACCTAACAGTATGAGCAACTCAGTGCTGCCAAATATATATAAATCATGATCCGCAAGCATGAGAAATTACTATTTGAAATTTACTGCAAAAACTCGTCATGCACCCTGTATATTATCAGTTTTTTCTCACTTAGTGCTTCCTGGCAAAGTCCCATGGCAAATTAATTGGAAATTGTGCGTTTGTTCGTTCCCCGGGTCATGAACTGCCAACATTGTAAGCAGTTGGGACATACGGCCTCCCACTGTGGCAGTAAGGCACGCTATTCCAAATGCAGGGAGAATCATGAGGATGACACCTGTGAAGCTACTACACCAAAATTCGTGTACTGCAAAGAAACTCCTGCTCATGGTCTCTCGCCGTGTCCGGTTTACAAACAACGCGGGAGAAACTACAACGCTCACTTAAGGAACGTTCCAGGCAGTCTTTTGCAGAAATGCTGAAGACAGCCACACCATTGACCAACGTCAAAAATCCCTTTTCTCTTTTGTCAGATGACGAGACTGACTCTGACTTGGCTGAGCAGGGAACTTCTTTAAGTTTTTCTGCACGGAAACGAAAACGCATCCGTTCGCAGAAACTTGACAATCAAGAACCCCAAATCAGCTTGCCCAAATCAAGAAGTGGTGAAACAAATGAGACTTCTACTCCTCCTGGATTCCGCAGAACTGACTATAACCAGAATTTTCCTCCTCTCGTTGGGACATCCAAAACCCCTGATGCCCCAGTTTTAAGAACAGCAGCCCCTTCTTCAGCTGGGTTGTACTCATTTGATAACATTGTGGACGGTATCCTCAAGTATATCGATATTTCTGATCCTCTGAAAAGCATTGTTCTGGCAATGCTTCCTACTGTGAAGACCCTCCTGAAGCAATTGACATTGAAGTAGCCCCTCCTTGCAGCAATCATTTCCTTCGATGGATAATTTTCCAAACGAGGTCAGGGATTTGATCACTGTTCTACAGTGGAATTGTCGAATTCTTATTCCTAAATTAGAATCGTTTAAGCTTTTAGTTCACAATAATGATTGCGATGCATTTGCTCTTTGTGAAACTTGGCTCTCTTCCTTTTTATGATTTTAACATTATTCGACTGGGGAACTTTTGGGGATCAAAAAGTGCCATTCCTTCTATAGAGTGAATCTTCCACAATTTACAGGTATTGAAGTTGTCGCATGTCAGGCTATTATTAAAGGTAAGATCCTTTGTATTGCTTCAGTTTATATCCCTCCTAGAACCGTTGTTAATCGAAAACAACTTTCAGATATATGTTCAGTACTTCCTGCTCCACGGTTGATCATGGGAAATTTCAATTCCCACAGTACAGGCTGGGGGGAACTGTATGATGACAACCGTTCTATATGATATGATATGATATATGACCTCTGTGACAACTTCAATATGTCAATTCTTAATAATGGAGAAGTAATACGTTTGGCTGGTTCATCCTCAAATGGAAGTAAATTAGACCTCACACTTTGCTCTAACTCATTATTGTTGGATTGCACGTGGAATGTGATTCAGGATCCCCACGGTAGTGATCACTTGCCGATCAAAATTTCGATTGCCAGTGGGTTCAATCCGTCGGAATCCGTTAACATCGCTTATGACCTCACTCGTAGTATCGATTGGACAACGTTCAAGACCGCGATAGATGAAGCCCTAACGTCGGTAGAAGGGCTTCCACCGTTGGAGGAATATAACTTCCTCTCCAATCTTATCTTGGACAGCGCGCTTCAAGCTCAAATTCGGCCGGTTCCAGGAACGTCTTTCCGTAGGAAACCTCCTTCCCCTTGGTGGGACAATGCACTGAGGTTTATCGTAAAAAGTCCGACGCGTTTAAGCTTTTCCGGAAACGCGGAACACCCGAGCATTTGAAGCGTACTCGACTCTTGAACGCGAACTCAAGAGCCTCATCAAAGCCAAGAAACGCGATTACTGGTGGCAATTCGTGGACGGATTATCGCGCGAAACGTCGATGAATACGCTTTGGAACACGGCGCGAAGGATGCGTAACTGGTCTTCAAACAACGAGAGCGAGGAGTACTCGGACCGTTAGATTCTCAAGTTCGCGCGAAAAGTATGTCCTGATTCCGTGCCGGCACCGATGATTCTTCGCGAAACGACGAATTCAGTAGACGAGATCAACCAGCCTTTTACAATGCTGGAGCTCTCACTCGCGTTATTTTCGTGTCGCAATTCGGCTCCGGGGGCTGATAGAATAAAGTTCAACTTGTTGAAGAACCTCCCAGACGTCGCTAAGAGGCGCATGATTGGAGGCGGGTGAGAGTTATAGCCATTAAAAAGCCTGGAATACCCGCGTCAGATCACAACTCGTATCGTCCCATTGCGATGTTATCGTGTATTCGAAAATTGTTGGAGAAAATGATCCTTTTTCGCCTCGACAAATGGGTTGAGACGAACCATCTACTCTCAGATACTCAATTTGGTTTCCGTAGGGGTAAGGGAATGAATGATTGTCTCGTGTTGCTTTCCACAGAAATTCAGTTGGCTTTTGCTAAAAAAGCGCAAATGGCTTCTGTGTTCTTGGATATTAAGGAGGCTTTTGATTCAGTATCGGTTGAAGTCTTTTCAGACAAACTCCACGCTTGTGGCCTATCCCCATTAATAAATAACTTTTTGTACAATTTGCTGTCAGATAAACTTATGAGCTTTTCTCATGGAAACTCTACAGCTTCTCGATTTAGTTACATGGATGGGTCTCCCCCAGGGCTCATGTTTAAGCCCCCTTGTAACGCTGTGCGGTTTTCTTCTTTTTTTCCTGTAAATATTTTATCGATTAAGTTCAACTAAATTTAAAATAAAATTCATTTCATTATTTAAATTTTCATTTAGATTTCATTCAGTAGTGAAATATTTCGTGCGTTTCATATCGAAGTTACGCGTTATTTATGGTTAGGTGTCCTGGATAAACCTTTTGCTATAAAAAGCTCATCTTTATTGCACATGCTTTCGGAAGGCGCCATGAAATACTTCGCCATTCGATTAGTTTGGCGCAATTTTTGAATAAAATAATCGTTTTTTTAAAAGACAACCTTAATTTCTAAAGAAGAATGTCGTTAGGAACTTTCTTCCCCGCGAAAGGTACTCTGACTCGTCCATTTCGCTTTCGAATCGGCTGGTGAACAGAAGTTCGCGAATTAAGTTCTCGTTAAAAGTCGTTTGTGCATTTAGAACTGCCTTAAAAGGTAGTTCAACTTTAGTGAGTGAGTTTTATTTTCAGAAGTTTTACTAAGACGTTTTCTTTTTTTGTACAGTGTAGCTAAGGTAGTTTAAAATTCCGCGTAGTCTGTTCGTTTTATTTCAGTGAATGTTGTACAAAAAAGGATATAATTGATTTTAGTCTATATTGTAATTATTTAATTAATGTGAGTTCGCGTTGGATTTCCAGCGCTTTGCGCTTTTTTTGTACGGGCTGGATTTTTATCTTCAGTTCGGCTATCGCAAGGCCGGACAAGGGGTCCTGTAAAGTGGCATCTATTCCGTCGTCCGTGTGAAACGGACCATCAGACTCGTGCGCCAAGCGAAGCCCAACAAACAATTGAGAGCTCTTATAAAACACCTGAGTTGATCAAACGTTGAATAAAAGCTTCCAGAGTTGAACAAGAATGTAGTTGTATTGCCATTTGATTAAAAGTTTTAAAAGCTGTTGGAGCACTCTTAAATGATTGTTTACGTTCGGTTTAACTATATGCTTTATAAGACCTACGATAACTTTTATAGCACCTTAGTTAAACTGATTGACAAGAGCTATATAGAACGTGAAATAAACGCATCAAAACAAACCATTGGGAGCTCTTATACAACACCTGAGTTGATCAAACGTTGAATAATAG